TGTATAACTGGGACACAAGTGTGCACCACCAAACCTGGCCCTGAGCCTGTCCTAAGGGTCAACAAGAACTATCATGCGTGGAAAGGGCCGTGGACCCTTCTGGGCTGATAACGAGGCCCAGTTTTCCCTCTGTCCAGCCTCAGGAGGATTAATGAGTGTTCACTCAGTCACTGCAGCCCATGAGGACACACCTGGTGGAGAGACAGGAGGGTGAAGCAAGTCCAAGCAATAAACAGAAGTTTTGGGGACATCGTGTCCACTGGTTGGTTGCAGACTGACATGCAGACCTGCAGTGTGGGTGTGAACCTTCCACTGAGGGTCTAGTTTGGGGTGACCCTGATTCACTGTGACACAGCCAGCATTTTGAGGCTCATTGCTGCTCTGAGCTGGTCTCACCTCTGAGGAGCAGAACCAGATAGAGTCAGCCAGGGCCCTGGGCAGTGTAGGGCCATGCCATGGCCAGCTGGGTGTGGGTTGTGGGACACCACGGAAAGCAAAAGGGACAGGCCAAGTGGGTGCTTCCCCCCAGCCCAGCAGCTCCCAGAAGAAAGAGCATCTGTGGTGGGGGAATGTTCTAGGGCTTTGGTATGAGGGCAGGGCCGAGCTGGCCAGGCCTGGGGACATGGGCAGCAGGGCTGGCAGAGCACAGGCCTGATGCCCGGTCTTATTCTCTCTCTGCTGCCTTCCAGCACCTGCCCAAGTGCTGGTGCTCAGGTGACAGCGTGAGTCCTGGGGTCTGACCTAGGCCCTGTGCTGGAAGGCCTGACGTGCTGTCCTGTGGGATGGGCACAAGGATGACCCCTGCACAAGGCCGCTTGCAGGTGCAAGTGATGTGTCACAGACGAGCACACAGGTGATCAGAGCCTCCCCTACGTACGCACGGGGAGGTCAATGTTGGCTTAGCAAGCTTGATAGGATTGTTGGAAGAGCCAGGCCAAAGGCACTGATGTCCCAGCTCTGAGCTGAGTGACTTGGCCTGGGAGGAGCCTGGGTGCCACCCTGTCATGGAAAAGGGGCTGACTGGAGAGTCCGAACTGCCCATCAAGGCCTGCCCCATGGCCAAACCCACAGACCAGCAGGGATCCTACAGGGGCCCACGGAGGCTGGGCTGCATGGCTGGCAGGGCTCTGGGGCCCGGGTGGGTGGCACAGTATCCTGGTCACCATGTCACCCCCTGGTAGCCACGGACCTGGCCCTGAGGCCTGCTCAGTCTCTCAGGGTCTCCCCGCCTGGGTGCCCTCCTACTGTGCCCCTGCCCCTCTCTGGTCCCAGACTCTCCTCCCTCCTGCCTGTCCCACTGCCTACACCGCCTCATCCCACTCCCTTATCTGGGTCCTCCGTGCACAATCCTGGGCGCCCATCCCCATGACAACAGGGCAGATGGCCCTGTGATAGCTGCTCTCCCGCCCACCACAGCTCAATCCGTCTTTGAAATTAAATCAGCTGTGATAACATCGATGGCCAGAGGGAGGAGGGTGAGGGAGGCTGCACACACCCCACCCACCCCGCGCAGGCCAGCACAGGGGAGGGGCCAAGGGGCAGAACCTGCTCACAGGGTGGCTAGAGACCTTGGCTAGGTTTCTGACTCTCTCAGCCTCAGTTTCCCCATCTGTGAAATGGGGGTGAACAGTGACACTTGTTTCTTGGGGCTAGTGGAACACTTGGGCAGGGGGTACAGGCTTGTGCCCCCCTCAAGTCCACACAGAACCTGGGTATCTGGTTCCTACTGGCCCTGTGAACCAGAGGCCTCACTCCCTAGGCCCTGGTGCACCAGTGTCACTGAACCCTAGTTCTAGGAAGGACAGCTTTGGAGACCAACCTGTCCATTCTTCCCACAGAGACTCAAGGACCAGGAGTAGAGAGGGTGGGGGAGGGGGCCTGCCCAAGCCTGAGGCTTTCTCCATGAAAGTGCATCTGAGCTGAGGCCAGAGGGACTGGTAGAGTTAGTGGGCAGGGGTCCCAGGCCATGGGTCCATATGTGCAAGAGTAGAAAGGTGGGGCTGGAGTACAGAGAGTCTCGGGGGAGCAGGGAGGTGAGCTGAGATCTGAAGGTATGGAGGCTGCACAGGGATCTGGAAGGAGGATGCAGGCAGAGGGTACAACCAGTGCAAAGGCCCTGAGTCAGGAATGAGTCAGGTGTGTATGCAGGGCAGTGAGGAGGCCGATGTGAAGTCCAGGTAAGTGATGATGGGATATGTACCCCTGGGGCAGCAGGGTTAGGGAGCTGCCTTCTGTAGGGAGATCCCTTTGTCTTCCTGAGTCCCTGCTTGGGCTGGAATCCACGCTGAGCCCTCAGAGTTGGGGTGCTCCTGCACGGGAACCAGGACCTGGACCCAACCAGCCAGTGCCACACCCAGGTGTTGGTGCAGGAATGGGGCTGAAGACTTTGCAGGGGTTCTCAGACCCCTCACGGCCACAGTCCACATACTAGACACATAGCCAGGCCCAAAAGGCCTGGGAAACTCCTGTGGCCCAAATATCTTGCTCTGCAAGGGTCAGCAAGGCCATCTCAAAGCAGTGACATGGGGTGAGTGTTTCCAGTGAAGAATTTAACAGGCCAGAGGGAGATGGGAAGCCTGCTTTGCACACAGGTGGGAGTCCCACGGAAGGCCCAGTGTGGATCCTGCCCCTTGACTGGTGACTGAGGTTGCAGTGTGGTGTGGACCCTGACCAGGCAGTGCTGTGGGGTGGGTGCAGGACCCAGCACTGGCTTAGGGATTTGGAACTCCCCCCTCCCCGTGTGCCCAAGTGGGGCTGGAGTCTTACCGCCAGTCTGGTCAGGCTTCAGTTCTGGGGCTCTGGGGGACCCCAATGCCTGGCAAAAACCCAGCTTTCTGCGGTGCCCCAAGTCAGCGCGTGTGGCCTCTGGGCTGCTAGAGCGTAATTGGATTTGCCTGGCAGCTGTCTGCGTTAAGCAGGCCCACTTGACGCAGCCGTGGCTGGCCGGTAATCAGGGAAATTAGCAGGTCGGCGGGGACAGAGGTCAGGTGGTTAACGCTGTGATGGGGGCTTTGATGAAGTTAGTCTCGGGCAGGACTGAGAGCTGAGGCTCGGCCTTCTGTGCGTCTCAGGGCGTCCCTGCTCTTCCAGTAACGTGGTTAGGGACCTCCAGCTGCTGCTGGCCCAGGGGTCTCAGAGCAGATCCCAGGGAGCTCAAGCCTGGCCGAGCCTCACGATGGGCTGCAGCAGCCAGGTCAGCTGGCCTCTCGACAGGAGACTTGCAGCGCTCTGCCCTGCAGATCTTGGGGTGATTCCCCTTGGCTTCCTGGAAGAGAAGGGTCCCCCTTGGAGGAAAGCTGCCAGGCCCACCTTAGCATCCACCCTCTAAGTGCTCCTCTTCCCAGCATGGGGTCACGTTCTTCAGGGGTTCTCTCGTTTATCTAAGGCGCCTGCTCTCCCTCCAGCTGAAGGCAGGCTTTGTGGTCCTGCTGTGCCCTGGAACGGGGAGCTCCTATCTTCTTCTGGCTCACAGCATCACTGGGCACCTACTAGGTACCAGATACCCGCTGGGAGTTGGACTGCTGTTGAATGACAACCGGCCAGGTCCTTGTCCACTTGGCGCCCATAGCACCATTTTGGCCTCCCCTCTTCCCAGCTTAGGAGCTGAGACTCTGTCACTAGCCAGACTTGAACTCCAAAATCTGGAGTCACCCCCTTTCCTATCCAGGGAAGAACACTTGCATTAGTCCTTCACACAGAGACACTCAACATGCTCGTCTGCAATAAAAATACTTATTATTATAAAGGCAGCTCCTTTGGAGTCAGTGCCCAGGATGGGATTCTCATTTACCCGCTTTTCAGCTATGTGACTCCTGTCTGAGCCCCGGTTTCCTCCCATGTTAAATGGGATCTGGGAGGGTTGTAGACATTAAGCAAAACTATGGGCACCATACTGACCTTTTGTTCTCAATCAGGCAGGCCTGCTCCTGCCCCACGGCCTTTGCACCACCAGATAGCCAAATGGCTCATCCCAGTCCTTAATTTCACCTCCTGCTCAGGAGGGCCACCTGACTCCAAATTTCCCCGCCCATCCCCCAGGCCACCCTCCCCATCTGATCCCAGGGACCAGATTCTTACTTGTTTTGTATCTGGCTTCTTCCACTGGAATGTCAGCTCGTGAAGGCAGGAATCTAACCGTTCTGCTCCAAGCTTTATCCGCAGTGCCTAGAGCAGTGCCTGGCACATAACTTGAGTTGCACTGAATTAAAAGTGCCTGCTGGGGTGGACTGTGGCTAAGTGACAGGGCCTGTTCTTTAGCATGTGCAAGGGTTTCATTCCCGGAATGACAAAAAATAAAAATAAAATAATAGAAAAGCACGTTTCTATGTTTGAGATTATTTCAAAATAAAACTTTGAAATACATGCTTTTCATTCCATGGGTCCCAGGACTAAAGCTGAGTACATGGATGTGCAAAGGCCCCAAGGTTGCAAAATGTTTGGTGCAGCAGAGAAAAAAAAGGGGAGGCCAGCGTGATGGGAAGCTGAAGAGGGAGCATGGGGTGGTGAGGCCGGGGACAGGGCAGAGGCCAGGCCGTCAGGGCCTTCTGATGGCAATGAGGCCTTTATGCTTAGAGCAGAGGGGGTGTGGACAGTTTTAAACACCGAGCAACATGGACATGGATACCTTGGGCCTGGCATGGCTGATGAGTAGGGAACCAGTGCGGATGGGGTCAGAGGGGATAGCTAAGGTGGCCCTACAGGACTGATGTAGAAGTAGAGGAACCAGGGTGGATGTGAGGGGGATGGTTGGAGTCTTTCTGTGCCCAGATGGTGCAGACAAGAGAAAAAACCCCATGCAGACCCTGCTGTGGGATTCCCAGGAAACTGCCTAGGGCTGGGCATGGTGGCCACACACTGCAGCATGCAGACCTGCGAGGTCCCCACACAGAGCTGCACCAGGCTTCCATCAACTCACTCGGCACATTTATTAACCATCAGCCATGATCCGTGGCCCCATGGGATGGTGAGTGACAGTGATGGTGGCAGGAGGGCCAGAGCCCTCACTTGCTGTCCACCCACTTGAGCTGCTCCTTGCCATTGACAGTCACCGACTTGAGCTGCCCGTCCTCCTCCACCTCCACGCGCTCGTGCCCATTCTCCACGATACGCTTGGTGGTGACCTTGTGTCCGTTGACCATCTCCGTGGATGACATCACTGACTTGAAGCCCGAGCTGCCGGCACTGGAGCCCCCGAAGGAGGTGGACGAGAAGGTGGTTCGGCTGCCGCTGCTGCGGCCCAGGCCGTCAAAGGACGAGAAGGCTTCCATGAAGGCCGGGAACTCACCAAAACCCGCCATAAAGGCCCCTCGCGGGCCGTGGCCCCGGCTGCCACGGTCGCTATTGAACGGGGTGTCCCAGAAGTCAAAGGAGAAGGGGTCGAGGCCACCAAAAAACTCGCGGAAAATGTCCTCGGGGTTGCGGAAGGTATAGCCATTGCCGAAGGGGCTGCTGTAGGGGGTGCTGGCCCCGCCACCTGCCCGCCAGCCATCGCAGCCCGCACGGTCATACATGGAGCGCTTCTTAGCGTCTGACAGGACCTCGTAGGCCTCGGACACCTGCTTGAATTTCTTCTCGGCCTCCTCCTTGTTATCAGGGTTCTTGTCGGGGTGCCAGCGCAAGGCCAGCTTGCGGTAGGCCTTCTTGATGTCCTCAGGGGAGGCAGTGGACTGCACGCCCAGCACCTCGTAGTAGTTGACCATGCTGAGGGGGGAGGGAGAGGTGAGGGGCGGCGAAGAGGAGGCTCAGGCCCAGCCTCGAGTGGTGGACAGGCCAAGGCAGCCTCTGGGCGTCCCTGCAGCAGGGACCCGGCTGGGATCTGATGGCTCCGGGCGGCAACACTGCCCAGTTTAGCTTTCCATAGCACCGGTTCTCGGGGACATGAGGGGCCTCCACTGAGGAATGGAGGGGGACACTGCTGCTGTGGGCAGCCCCTCCAGAGCTGGGGCCAGGGCTCTTTGTGACATCAGCTCTGGGCGTGGCAAACCCCACCCACAGCTCTGGACCTGGCCAAGCTGGGCCATCACTGGGTCACTGGGCCTGCAACCAGGCTGGCTGCCATTGAGGGCCATGCTGGAGCTGTCAATGAGCTTTGGGGAGCCAGAGAACAGAGGGGGACCAGCCAGAGAAGAAGCAAGGATGGCTTCTCCATTGGCCTCCAGAGGGAGACAGCCATTGGAGAGAGCCATTTGGGACTGCTGGCCTTGGGACCTTGGGAAAACAGAGCTCTTGCTGCCTGTGCCACCCGTGTGTGATCAGATGTAATGACAGCCCTGGAAATCCAAGAAGGTGAGCGACATAGCCAGACACTCCAAGGTGTTCCTATTTCTTTAACTCTTATGGCTTTAAGAGTTAAAGAAATAGGATCCTTTTAGAAACAGTAATTAACAATACTGATTATCACTCATTCCTACCCTGCCTAATCTAGCTGAGAGGGAGAACATGCTCCTCGGCCAGGAGATGCTGGGATATTCACCAAGGTGGCCTCCCTCCTTCTTTCCTCTTTCCTCCTCCTTTCCTTCTCCCTTGTCCTCTTTTCCTACTCTTTGCCCCTCTTTTTCCTCCACTCATTTTCTCTTCCAGAGCTCCTTGGTGATCAGTTTCAGGCAGCTCTGAAGACACTGTGAGCCCAGCCTCAAGTGACCAGTGCTGTGTCGTCCCCCACCCCACCCCAGACATCTCACCAAGGGCAGGACTTGCCCTCCATGCCCCACATCCTGCTAACCCCAGTGACAGCAGATGACTGAACACCGCATACAGGTGAGGGTGGTGCTGTGCTTCTTTGGGTTGGTGGAGCAGAGCGGTGAGGCCCACTCTGCACAACCTCCATGATGGTGGAGGCAGCAGAGGGGCACCTCCATGAGAAGACAGAGGGCGATGTGCAGGGCAGCGGCGGGTGGAGGCGGCAGAAGCGTAAGTCTGAGGATGGCGGAGTGTTGGTAGTGGTTGTTGGTGATGGAAACAGTTCCGGTGGAGCCTGTGATGCTTGGGGTGGAGACGGTGACGGCTGCATGAAAGCCAGTGAAGGCCGTGAGTAGTGGAGGCTGTGTGCAGCTCAGCTGTCACTGTCCAGCATCTACACTTTGGTGGCTTAGGATGAATGCTCAGTTCATATCCACCTTAGCACCAGCCCATAGGCAGCTGTGGGAGCTCTGCCCCCAGCCTCCTCGCGCTGGGCCCAGCCCGGGGGCAGCTGTGACCTGAGATGGGATGTGCCCAGCTCTTGCACAGGAGAGTAGAGGACTTCAGGGCAGTTGACGCTTCTGTCGGGACCATGCGTGCTGTGCTCTGTCACATCCCACGAGGTGAGGAGTGACACTCCTTCACTTTTGCAAGTCTCAAAGCAACAACCGCCAGAGAAGAGCGAGGCTCCTGCAGGTCCGAGGGACTGAGCCACTCCACGCCATGACTCCACACCATGGTGGTTCATGGTGGGGCAGTGGGAATGAGGACCCTGGTAGAAACAGTGATGGTGCTGATGGTGACACATGATACCAATAGCGGAGGTGTGGGGTAGGTGGGTGGTGGCGATGAGGATGGCTAAGGAAGAGGAGACAGTGAAAGGAGGACACTGAGTAATGGGAAGGACGAGATGGGACAGTGACAGGGATTGCAGCAGGCTGATGGAGCTCTGAGTTTTCAGTTGCTCCCCTAGTGTCACTTCTACCCTCCTCTGTCACCTTTCCCCTCTTACCAACATTACTCCCCAGGCGAGAGTTTACAAGGCAGGAACCTTTGAACACAAAAGGGAAAGAATCGGAACAGGCAAGTGATGACCAGACAGTCACAGCAGTTTCTCGGCAACCTGAGAACCCCTGACTTCTTCTGTGACTAAGGTGGTCATCATCTCTGGAGATGCCCACCCTGGACCTGCAGCCTGGGACATTGCACTCACTGTGCCCTGGCCTTAACCCCTAGGTGGTCCAACTGGTGTCAGCTGGTGTGAAATGTCACCCTGCTGCCACAATCAGTGACTGTGTGCTCAATATGGTGATGGTGGTGATATGCCCACAGCAACTGTCACACTCCACAGATGAATAGGTGGAGGAGGAGGTGACAGAGTCTATCCGAGGGAGAATAGTGGAGGAGGAGGAGAAGATGGTGACGGTGAAGGGGCAGTCGTGGTGGTCAGAATGGTGGTGACAGTGAAGGGGTGGTTGTGGTGGTGATGGGATGGTGATGGTCGTTGGAGTGGTGGAGGTGATGGTGAATGGAGGAAATGTGGAAGGAAGCAGGTATACTGGGCTGTCTGTGGTGATGGTGGTACTGAGTCCTGGTGTTGATGACCTCGCTGATGATGAAGCTGTGGTGTCCATGACAATGTGGTCAGGACACATTGTGGTGCTAGTTGCTGCAATGTTAAAGGACCCAGGATGGGGTTATGTCCCAGAATCCTATCGTCCCCTTCTCGCAGGCATCGGTGCTGCCCCAATCACCTCCCAAGAGGAACCTTCCTCTGCCATGGCTCTTCCAGAGCAAGCTTTCTGTCCTCTCTAATGCCCTGTGGTTGACCCAAGGCTCCCACCCTGGAGCAGACCTGTCAGCCTTGGATGGTATGGATGCAGAGACACCATCACCACCCACCAGGCTCAGCACTGTCCCAGGGGACAGAGACCACTCAGCAGGACATAGACAAAGGCGTAGTCCATAGCGGCAGACTCCAGACCCTCACTGTCAGCGGTACCTTGAAGATGAGGCTCCTGCGTGGGGTGAGCACCCCCATAAAGGAAGGTGTAGAACTTGGACCTGGACAGCCACTTGGTGGCAGCATGCAGAGGTGTTCCCCAATTTGCAGAGTTCAAACTGGTGTCCTACAAGGACCTCAAGCCTCAAGGACTTGGGGACCCAGTGAGGTCCCTGCGTTGGATGTGGGAAGAGCAGCCGGGCAGCCTATCTGAGCACTTGCTGTGCCTATGTTCCTGACTCTCATTGTCAGGTCACTTGCCCTCTCTGAGACTTTCTATCATTCACCAGAGGGACAGAGAATCACCTTCCTCTTGGAACATCATCCTCTCTGGAATCCAGTCTTGCCTCCTGGCCTCAGCCTCTGATATCCGCAGTGCCTAGTTTTAGGCCCATCCTACAGCCACTCCCCAACCCATAGGCTGGAAAGAGAAGGACTTCAAGTGACCAGGTGACTTCAGGCAAAGCCTGACCCAATGCATACAGAGGCCCAGAGAGGGCAGGGCACACCCAAGGTCACACAGCAGCCAGGAAGCCCTCCCCAGGGCCCGCTGATGAGGCTGATTCGGCAGCCAATTGGTATGCCGTGCGGCCAGAGGCCCCTCTCTGTCTCTGTAATTAATGGAGTGGCTTTTTAAAAGGATTCTAATCACTCCGATCCTATCTGCTTATCACTAGCGCTCCTAATTAGATGATCCTGGCAGGCACTCAGCTAATTCCCTCCAGCCCCACACAGCCCTGCCCGTGGGGGGCATCCCACCCCCCCAGGCCACCCCTGCCTGGCCAGATGGGCAGTTCTGGGCCTTCTCTTCCCTCCGGGCCCAAGGTTCTCTAACTGCATTACTCCCAGGATGGATGGGTGACAGCAGTGGATGGATGGGCCGCTGGATGGACAGAGTGACAGGTAGTGGTGAGGCTGAATGGTAGACAGCTATGAGGGTGGATGGAGGAATGGAAGGAAGGAAGGAAGAAAGGAAAGAAGGAAGGAAGGAAGGAAGGAAGGAAGGAAGGAAGGAAGGAAGGAAGGAAGGAAGGAAGGAAGGAAGGAAAGAAGGAAGGAAGGAAAGAAGGAAGGAAAGAAGGAAGGAAGGAAGGAAAGAAGGAAGGAAGGAAGGAAAGAAGGAAGGAAGGAAGGAAGGAAGGAAGGAAAGAAGGAAGGAAGGAAGGAAGAAAGAAAGAAAGGAAGGAAGGAAAGAAGGAAGGAAGGAAAGAAAGAAAGAAGGAAGGAAGGAAGAAAGGAAGGAAGGAAAGAAGGAAGGAAGGAAGGAAGGAAAGAAGGAAGGAAGGAAGGAAGGATGGATGGGC